CTACCATTCACCCCAGAAACATACCTCTTGCTAGCGTTACCCCACACATTGGAAAAGGTGGACCTATATCTCATATATCATATAATCATTACAGCTCAAATGTCTATAAGTAAAGGGTGGCTTAACGAGAACCCACCAAGTATTGACAAATGCTTAAACATGGTGGATACCACCAAATCATACGAAAAAGCGGCAAGGCGGATGAGGGCGGCTAACAAAGTTTGGCCGATAGCATGGAACCGATGGGATGACTGGCGACTGTCAGTCCAAAAGAGCATACAACAGTTATAAACCATAAAAGGACATAGGTCCTCAGAACGTAGGCCGATCCAACTTTCTCCGCCCCCCCTCTCCTTCCCCCTACCTCCCCCCCCCAGTTTAAGGTTCACAACGATGGTTACACACAGATACTGAATAAACTGAGTAAATGTGACACAGACATTGATGCAAGTTAAGTCCACTGACATACGAATTATTGCTCTGTACGTAGCACTGAGTTGTCCCTTTGTTTTGTTTATAAATTCAGAGATGTCAGCTTTCTTTGAAATGTGATTGACTTTGTACTGTGACCACCGTTCTTTTTCTGTACATCTGTATAACTTGATTATAAAATTGAAACTAAATAAAAAATATTATACACAAAAAGTCACCAAAATGACTGCCGAGTTGCCAACATTCTAACTTGTGCTGATTACTGGGTGGCCACCCTGCCGTCCTTAGTTCCCTCACTGGAAGATGCGCAACTACAAGCTCACGCTGGTAGACGTGCTGCTAAGGGCATTCCCAACTGACGGGGCTCAGTAGAAGCACAAGGCGAAGACAGAGGAGGAGGAAGAGGTCACCAACGCAGCTGGGGCACCGCCAGCACCTCAGAAGGCAGGGTTAGCATGGCCAAAATGTGGAAAAGCTTTGTCAGCACGCCACAACAACCAGCACCACCAGCTGATATGGAACGTCTTAGCAGGAGGCAGCATTTCAGCAACATGGTGGAACAGTACGTGTGCACATGCCTACACGTACTGACAGATGGGTCTGCCCCATTCAACTTCTGGGTCTCCAAACTGGGCACATGGCTTGAGCTTGCCCTTTATGCCTTGGAGGTGCTGGCCTGCCCTGCAGCCAGTGTATTGTCTAAACGTGTGTTTAGCACGGAAGGGGGCGTTATCACAGACAAGCGCAGCCGTCTGTCCACAGCCAGCGTGGACATGCTCATGTTTATTAAAATGAACCAGGCATGGATCCCACCAGACTTTTCTGTACCTTGTGCAGAATAGACATTTATACCGGCCTCACCCAGCCATTGTTATACTCAAGTGCACTTATTCTTTGTTTTGTTTTTTTATGTCCCAATATTTTGGGGGCTACCCCAATTTTTTGCAGGGCACTTGTTCTACTCTTACCCCCATTTTACTTCCTTTTGCAACCCTCTAGCCCTTCCCAGGACTTTTTTAGAGCCATTTTAGTGCCCAAAAGCTCGGGTCCCCATTGACTTCAATGAGGTTCGGGGTCAAATTCGAGGCTGAACTCTAACTTTTTGCCAAAGTTCGGCCGAACCCGGTGAACTCGAACATCCAGGTGCCCGCTCATCTCTATATAGCAAGAAAAACACTACAAACGTTAACAGACGTCTTAATCCATATTAGTTCATGTTTGTAAAAATAAAACAAAAATAGCATTGTATGCTTCCCGATAAAAATAACTGACCTGAGTAGAGAATCAAATCCAGGCTGCTGTGAGACACAGGTACAGGAAACTGTGAAGAAGAATAGTCTGTATTAATTCAGGGACAGATTGTAGTAAGGTGCAGGTTTAGGCTGTATTAATTCAGGGACAGTTTGTAGTAAGGTGCAGGTTCAGTATGTATTAATTCAGGGACAGATTGTAGTAAGGTGCAGGTTCAGTATGTATTAATTCAGGGACAGCTTGTAGTAAGGTGCAGGTTCAGTATGTATTAATTCAGGGACAGCTTGTAGTAAGGTGCAGGTTCAGTATGTATTAATTCAGGGAGAGATTGTAGTAAGGTGCAGGTTCAGTATGTATTAATTCAGGGAGAGATTGTAGTAAGGTGCAGGTTCAGTATGTATTACATAGTTACATAGTTACATAGCTGAAAAGAGACTTGCGTCCATCAAGTTCAGCCTTCCTCACATTTGTTTTTTGCTGTTGATCCAAAAGAAGGCAAAACCCAGTTTGAAGCACAATTTTGCAACAAGCTAGGAAAAAAATTCCTTCTTGACCCCAGAATGGCAGTCAGATTTATCCTTGGATCAAGCAGTTATTACCCTACATTGAAAGATTATATCCTTGAATATTCTGTTCTTGCAAGTATGCATCTAGTAGCCGTTTGAACATCTGTATGGACTCTGATAAAACCACTTCTTCAGGCAGAGAATTCCACATCCTGATTGTTCTTACAGTAAAAAAACCTTTCCTTTGCCTTAGACGAAATCTTCTTTCTTCCAGTCTAAACGCATGGCCTCGTGTCCTATGTAAAGTCCGGTTTGTGAATAGATTTCCACACAATGGTTTGTATTGGCCCCGAATATATTTGTATAATGTTATCATATCCCCTCTCAGGCGACGTTTTTCTAAACTAAATAGGTTTAAATTTGTTAACCTTTCTTCATAGCTGATATGTTCCATTCCTTTTATTAATTTTGTAGCCCGCCTCTGCACTTTTTCTAGTGCCATAATATCCTTCTTTAGAACAGGTGCCCAAAATTGCACAGCATATTCAATATGGGGTCTTACCAGTGATTTATAAAGAGGCAAAATGATATTCTTGTCCCGAGAATGAATGCCCTTTTTCATGCATGACAATACCTTACTGGCCTTGGCCACTGCTGATTGACATTGCACATTGTTGCATAGTTTGTTGTCTATAACAATTCCCAAGTCCTTTTCATGTGTTGTTATCCCTAATTCGCTTCCATTAAGGGTATACGTTGCTTGTGTATTCTTTACGCCGAAGTGCATAACTTTGCATTTTTCAACATTAAATTTCATCTGCCATTTGAGTGCCCAGTCTCCCAGTCTATCTAAATCCCTCTGCAGCAAAGTAATATCTTGCTCACATTGTATTGTTTTACAAAGTTTGGTGTCATCTGCAAACACTGAAACATGACTTTCAATGCGGTCTTCAAGATCATTTATAAACATGTTAAATAGAAGGGGTCCCAGAACAGACCCCTGAGGGACACCACTTGCCACCTCTGTCCAGCTTGAAAATTTACCATTAATGACAACTCTTTGTACTCTGTTTTTAAGCCAATGTTCTACCCAAGAACAAGCATTTTCATCTAGACCGATTTCTTTGAGTTTGAACACTAATCTATTGTGTGGAACTGTATCAAATGCCTTGGCAAAATCCAAAAAGATCACATCCACGGCAACACCCTGATCTATACTTCTACTTACTTCTTCGTAGAACGCAATCAAGTTAGTTTGACATGACCTGTGCTTCATAAAACCATGCTGATTTTTGCTGATAACCATGTTCTTCTCAAGGAATTCTTGAATATTATCCCTTAATAAACTTTCAAATATTTTACCAGCCACAGAAGTTAAGCTCACAGGTCTATAATTTCCAGGCAAGGATTTTGAACCCTTTTTGAATATAGGAACCACATCTGCCTTCCTCCAATCCTCCGGAACACTTCCTGAAAGAAAAGAATCTTGAAAGATTAAAAACAGAGGTTCACTTATTTCTGCACTTAGTTCCTTAAGTACACGTGGATGGATACCGTCAGGCCCTGGAGCTTTGTTTATATTAACTTTCTTTAGTTGCTGCAGCACCTTGTCTTGAGTTAACCAATTACAATTATTCTGCAAGTTTTTAGTAGCAATCATTTGCACATCTATTGCCATGGGTTCTTCCTTAATATATACGGAGGAGAAAAAGTTATTTAAAATTCCTGCCTTTTCCTGGTCTTCATTAATTAACACCCCCGTTTCAGTTTTTAGTGTACCTACACTTTCATTTTGTTTTTTTTAGAATTTATGTACTTAAAAAATGCTTTGGGGTTGGTTTTGCTCTCTTCAGCTATCATTATTTCATTTTGAAGTTTAGCAAGTCTAATTGCCTTTTTGCACGCATTATTTGCATCCTTATATCTTTTATAAGATGCATCTGATTTGTCCGATTTAAATGCTTTAAATGCCCTTTTCTTAGTTGTAATCTCTTGTTTTACTTCTCTACTAAGCCACATTGGTTTTAATTTGTTTCTTTTATATTTATTTCCCAATGGTACATACTGAGAAATGTACCTTTGTAATATTTGTTGGAAGATGATCCATTTATCCTCAGTGTTCTTTTCACTAAAGAGTTTATGCCAGTCAATATATTGTAAAGCTTCCCTTAACTTATTGAAATTGGCCTTTTTAAAATTATATGTTTTAGTATTCCCCATGTGCTTTTGTTTTTTTGAGTTTATTTCAAAGGACACTATATTGTGATCACTATTTCCCAAGTGCTCACCTACTTGAATGTTGGTCAAAAGATCAACGTTGTTTGTTAAAACCAGGTCCAGACAAGCATCCATTCTAGTTGGTGCTTGCACAAGTTGTGACATGAAGGTGTCATTTAACAAGTTTAAAAACCTAATTCCCTTTGCTGAGGCACTAGTCCCTCTGTCCCAATTTATATCCGGGTAATTAAAATCTCCAATAATTAAAGTGTTACCCAGATTTGCAGCTTTCTCAATTTGCTCAAACAGCTGTTGTTCCTCGTCAATATTAACATTAGGTGGTTTATAACATATCCCAACCAATAGTTGGTTTCCCTTCTTTTCCCCCAAGCAGATATTTACCCATAAAGCTTCCACATTATCCTCCTCGCATTCCATTTGCTTAACATTTGGCTTTAAATCATGTTTGACATACAAACATACCCCACCACCCTTCTTGTTTTTCCTATCCTTCCTAAATAACGTGTACCCATTTAAGTTAGCTGCCCAGTCATGTGTCTCATCCCACCATGTTTCAGTTATGCCTTTTATATCATATTGTTTAGTGTATGCCAATGCCTCTAGTTCCCCCATTTTGTTATTTAGGCTCCTTGCATTAGTAAGCATACATTTAATATTATGCGCCACTTGTATATTTTGTGAATTTTCAACATTACACAGCTTCTCTGTTCTGAGCTTGCCCCTCCCCCCGTTTCCACCCCCCTTATACTGTGCTAAAGCCCATCTCCTTTCTGTCCTATCTCCATTTTGTAGATTGCTATGACCCTCCCCCCCTACTACTAGTTTAAAATCTCCTCCAACCTTCTAGCCATCCTATCCCCCAGCACTGCAGACCCTCTCCCGTTTAGGTGCAATCCATCACCACTATAAAGGTTGTACCCAATCGCAAAGTCGGCCCAGTGCTCTAAAAACCCAAAACCCTCCTTCCTGCACCAAGACTTAAGCCACGCATTGACCTCTCTAATCTCCCGCTGCCTTTCCACTGTAGCGCGTGGCACAGGTAATATCTCAGAGAATACCACCTTGGAGGTCCTTTTCTTAAGTTTGCTACCTAATTCCCTGAAATCATTCTTTAGGACCTTCCATCTTCCTCTTACTTTGTCATTGGTACCAACATGGACCATGACCGCTGGGTCATCCCCAGCCCCTCCCAATAATCCATCCACTCTGTCAGCAACATGCCGGACCCGAGCACCCGGGAGACAGCAAACTGTCCGGTTGAGCCGATCAGAGCGGCAGATTGCCCTATCTGCTCTCCTAATGATAGAGTCCCCTACCACCACAACCTGTCTTGCCTTCCTTACATTTTGATCCCCACCCGTACTAGGGGGGCTGTTAGCTCGGCTGTTAGAAGTAACAGCTTCCTCTAATACAGCTACTCCTGAGCTGATGCTCCCAACATCTTCCCTCAAGCGGGCAAATCTGCTAGGTTGCACCAAATCAGGACTAGCTAGCCCTTTCCTCTTCCCTCCCCCCCTGCTTCCTCGCCCCACTGTCACCCAGCTACATGCCTGTTCCCCATCTGTCTTATCTCCTCCCTCTCCACTACCTGTCCCCACTAAACTCTGCTCAGTGAGCAGTAGACTCCTCTCAAGATTATCAATCTCCCTCAATGTTACGATTTGCTTCTCAAGATCTCCAATCTGAGCTTCCAAAGAAGCCACTCGCACACAACCATCACAGAGGTATGGACCCTGGATGGGCACATCCAGGCATCCATACATGCAACAAGATGTGCATTGAGTTAAACCAGCAATCTTGCTAACACTCATTTCCCCTTTAAACAGTAAATAAAAACAATTACCTTGATAGTTTAAACCCCTTGTTAGTTTGAACTCCTGCTTTTCTAACTCCTACTTGAAAGAGTCTACTTAATAGAGGCTGCTTTCAAATAATGTGAGCAAGCTCAGTGAGTTAGGGGTGTGCCTTTATGGGGGTATTGTTACCTGTTCAGAAGCCAGGATCAGATGAATATCATCCTGTACAAGATTTGAGAGCAGTTAATGATGCAGTAGTCAATATACACCCAGTTGTACCCAACCCTTATAATCTGCTTGCCTTGATACCAGGTGGGGCAACTTACTTTACGGTTTTAGACCTCAAGGATGCTTTCCTTTGTCTTCGAATTGCTGCTGAGAGTCAGTGTATCTTTGCCTTCCAATGGGAAGATGCTGTTATGGGTTCAAAGCGTCAGATGACTTGGACTAGACTACCTCAAGGATTCAAGAATTTACCCACCCTATTTGGATCCACACTAAGCCAGGACCTGCAAGATTTCAAGTCCATCCCAGGAGAATGTGTATTACTTCAGTATGTGGATGATTTGTTGATAGTGGCAATTACTAAAGAGATATGCCAACAAGCAACTTATGATCTACTTCAAATTCTCTGGAAGGCAGGATACAAAGTATCTAGGAAGAAAGCGCAATTGTGCCAGTCAACTGTCAAGTATTTAGGATTCCATATCTCTGAAGGTCAAAGGATAATGGGACCCGAAAGGAAAGAAGCGGTATGTCAGATACCGATACCTAAGAATAGAAGACAGGTGCGAGAATTCTTAGGAGCAGCAGGATTCTGCAGGATATGGATTCCTAATTACGCGATATTGGCGAAACCCTTATATGGAGCTATAAAAGGCACAGAACATGACCCCTTCCTATGGACCACTGAACAGCAGAAGGCATTTGAGGATATCAAGAAAGCACTAATGAGTGCCCCAGCCCTAGGTTTACCTGATCATACAAGTCCATTCTATCTGTATGTACACGAGCAAAGAGGCTGCTTTCAAATAATTCAGGGACAGATTGTAGTAAGGTGCAGGTTCGGCTGTATTGAATTCAGGGACAGATTGTAGTAAGGTGCAGGTTCAGGCTGTATTAATTCAGGGACAGATTGCAGTAAGGTGCAGGTTCAGGCTGTATTAATTCAGGGACAGATTGCAGTAAGGTGCAGGTTCAGGCTGTATTAATTCAGGGACAGATTGCAGTAAGGTGCAGGTTCAGGCTGTATTAATTCAGGGACAGATTGTAGTAAGGTGCAGGTTCAGGCTGTATTAATTCAGGGACAGATTGTAGTAAGGTGCAGGTTCAGGCTGTATTAATTCAGGGACAGATTGTAGTAAGGTGCAGGTTCACGCTGTATTCATTCAGGGACAGATTGTAGTAAGGTGCAGGTTCAGCTGTATTCATTCAGGGACAGATTGTAGTAAGGTGCAGGTTCAGGCTGTATTAATTCAGGGACAGATTGTAGTAAGGTGCAGGTTCAGGCTGTATTAATTCAGGGACAGATTGTAGTAAGGTGCAGGTTCAGGCTGTATTAATTCAGGGACAGATTGCAGTAAGGTGCAGGTTCAGGCTGTATTAATTCAGGGACAGATTGTAGTAAGGTGCAGGTTCAGGCTGTATTAATTCAGGGACAGATTGTAGTAAGGTGCAGGTTCAGGCTGTATTAATTCAGGGACAGATTGTAGTAAGGTGCAGGTTCAGGCTGTATTAATTCAGGGACAGATTGTAGTAAGGTGCAGGTTCAGGCTGTATTAATTCAGGGACAGATTGCAGTAAGGTGCAGGTTCAGGCTGTATTAATTCAGGGACAGATTGCAGTAAGGTGCAGGTTCACGCTGTATTAATTCAGGGACAGATTGTAGTAAGGTGCAGGTTCACGCTGTATTCATTCAGGGACAGATTGTAGTAAGGTGCAGGTTCACGCTGTATTCATTCAGGGACAGATTGTAGTAAGGTGCAGGTTCAGGCTGTATTAATTCAGGGACAGATTGTAGTAAGGTGCAGGTTCAGGCTGTATTAATTCAGGGACAGATTGCAGTAAGGTGCAGGTTTAGGCTGTATTAATTCAGGGACAGATTGCAGTAAGGTGCAGGTACAGTATGTATTAATTCAGGGACAGATTGTAGTAAGGTGCAGGTTCACGCTGTATTAATTCAGGGACAGATTGTAGTAAGGTGCAGGTTCACGCTGTATTCATTCAGGGACAGATTGTAGTAAGGTGCAGGTTCACGCTGTATTCATTCAGGGACAGATTGTAGTAAGGTGCAGGTTCACGCTGTATTCATTCAGGGACAGAACAGCTTGTAAGGGGTGCAGTTCAGGCTGTATTAATCTTGTGGGACAGATTGCAGGTCTGTGGCTGCATAATTCAGGACAGATTGCAAGGTGCAGGTTCAGTATGTATTAATTCAGGGACAGATTGTAGTAAGGTGCAGGTTCAGGCTGTATTAATTCAGGGACAGATTGCAGTAAGGTGCAGGTTCAGGCTGTATTAATTCAGGGACAGATTGTAGTAAGGTGCAGGTTCAGGCTTTTTTAATTCAGGGACAGATTGCAGTAAGGTGCAGGTTCACGCTGTATTAATTCAGGGACAGATTGTAGTAAGGTGCAGGTTCAGGCTGTATTAATTCAGGTACAGATTGCAGTAAGGTGCAGGTTCAGGCTGTATTAATTCAGGGACAGATTGTAGTAAGGTGCAGGTTCAGGCTGTATTAATTCAGGGACAGATTGTAGTAAGGTGCAGGTTCAGGCTGTATTAATTCAGGGACAGCTTGTAGTAAGGTGCAGGTTCAGGCTGTATTAATTCAGGGACAGATTGCAGTAAGGTGCAGGTTCAGGCTGTATTAATTCAGGGACAGATTGCAGTAAGGTGCAGGTTCAGTATGTATTAATTCAGGGACAGATTGTAGTAAGGTGCAGGTTCAGGCTGTATTAATTCAGGGACAGATTGCAGTAAGGTGCAGGTTCAGGCTGTATTAATTCAGGGACAGATTGTAGTAAGGTGCAGGTTCAGGCTGTATTAATTCAGGGACAGATTGTAGTAAGGTGCAGGTTCAGGCTGTATTAATTCAAGGACAGATTGTAGTAAGGTGCAGGTTCAGACTATTCATTCAGGGACAGATTGTAGTAAGGTGCAGGTTCAGGCTGTATTAATTCAGGGACAGATTGCAGTAAGGTGCAGGTTTAGGCTGTATTAATTCAGGGACAGATTATAGTAAGGTGCAGGTTCAGTATGTATTAATTCAGGTTCAGATTGTAGTAAGGTGCAGGTTATTGAAGTAAAGCAGGGTTTTGCAGTTAATGGGGTCCGTTATTAAAGTAAAGCGGGTTTTGCAGTTAAGGGGGTCCGTTATTGAAGTAAAGCGGGGTTTTGCAGTTAAGGGGGTCAGTTATTGAAGTAAAGCGGGGTTTTGCAGTTAAGGGGTTCCGTTATTGAAGTAAAGCGGGGTTTTGCAGTTAAGGGGGTCCGTTATTGAAGTAAAGCTGGGTTTTGCAGTTAAGGGGGTCCGTTATTGAAGTAAAGCGGGGTTTTGCAGTTAAGGGGGTCCGTTATTGAAGTAAAGCGGGATTTTGCAGTTAAGGGGGTCTGTTATTAAATAAAGCGGGCTTTGCAGTTAAGGGGGTTCGTTATTAAATAAAGCGGGTTTTGCAGTTAAGGGGGTCTGTTATTAAATAAAGCGGGTTTTGCAGTTAAGGGGGTCCGTTATTGAAGTAAAGCGGGGTTTTGCAGTTAAGGGGGTCCATTATTGAAGTAAAGCTGGGTTTTGCAGTTAAGGGGGTCCGTTATTGAAGTAAAGCTGGGTTTTGCAGTTAAGGGGGTCCGTTATTGAAGTAAAGCGGGGTTCCGTTATTGAAGTAAAGCGGGGTTTTGCAGTTAAGGGGGTCCGTTATTGAAGTAAAGCAGGATTTTGCAGTTAAGGGGGTCTGTTATTAAATAAAGCGGGTTTTGCAGTTAAG